CCCAGCCACGACCAAAGTACAATCTTCTCTCCCTACCATAATATTAGTGTTTAGGTTGGTTCTACATATTTGAATGTTGGGGTTTATTTAAATTCCAGATTTTAAACTCAAACCATTAGCTCTGTAGGAATAGGGTTCAGGGTTATTTTACAGGTTTGAATGTTGTTGTTTTTAAAAAACATGAGAGATTTAAAAGAATATGTGGCTCTGTAGGGTTTAAGGTGCTTTCTGAAACTAGGTTTTAGAGGTCTGAATGTTCGGGCTTTTTTAAATCAACGATTTTAAAAAACCATGATGCTCTATATAAAATGAAATTGTTGTTCATAGCCGCAAAACCCCCTGAAAATGTGTTTTATTGCCAAATTTATCTGAGATATCTAGTTATTTTTCTTCTTTCAAAAGCTTTTGTTCGAGACTAGATTTTTGCAGCTTATTCTCAGCTTTTATTGAATAAATGTTTTTCTCAGTTTTAAAAATCTTGGTTTATTCTCAGTTTTAAAAATCTTGGTTTATTCTCAGTTTTAAAAATCTTGATTTATTCTCAATTTAACTGAAATTGTTGAATAAATGTTATTCATTTTTTTTCATTTACCGTCATTTTTCTTTCATCGCAACCTTTATTGCATTTCTTATTCATACATGAAACAAATATCTTAAGTCTTTAATAATGGTTTGAGTTTGTATTACCAACAATGCTTTTTTTTTTCTTTTTTTAGATGATAAAATTATTGATGTATTTAGCTTTTGTAGTTATGATGAAATTGATATGTTTAATCCCCTCAATTGTATAATACATTCCACAAGTGTTTAAAAAAACGACGAGTCGAACCAGAAATCGTCATGGACGGATCGAATCGGCGAAAGAAACGGAAATCGTCCTGTTTTAGAGAGAACCGGACGATTCTGTACAGTGACTCGCCGATTCACTGTACGGAATCGGCGATTCCGTACAGTGAACCGGCGATTCACGTTACGGTTTTTTTTTTTTTTTTTTTTTTTTTTTTTTTTTTTTTTTTTTTGTTTTGTAATTCCATGATTTAGATTTTTTTGTAATACTTGTACCGATTTTTTTGTAATCCATAATCGT